TAGAGTAGAACTTTTCTCTGTGCTGACCATCTAGAAACTACCAAGGAGTGTTATGGAAAGCTACCTGAAGGAAAAGAAGGGAAAAGGAGAATGAATAAGGGATATGGATCATATATAAACAGAAAATCATATTCCTTGGGACCCAGTAAAAAAAAAAAAGAAAATCCTTGATATAAGCTATTTTTAGTTTTTCGTTTTAAAGTTTTCACATAAAACTATTTTTATTATAATCATCTTTTTTTATTACACTAATGTTTATTTAACAATCCTGTCCCAAACATTTTCCACATACAGTTTGCTAGTATCTCCTATTTGTATATTTGCTCCATAAAGATTAAAAATTAATAGCAAAATCAAATGATTCATTATACATTAGCAAAGCCAAGCTTCAAATCTGAGTTTATCAAGAATACACAGAAAAGTATTACAGAAAAGTGCTATCAGCAGAAGTCTTTAATATTCATGAATATTTTTGTTTATTCCAGAAAAGGTATTCAGCTTACTGCCTATCTCTACATTTTGCTTTTTTGTGTGAATTAAGTCATTTTCCTCTGTGACAATGAAATGACTTATGCCATCTGGGGGCAGAAAGAAAGAATTATGGGAGTCTATGTTATAATTGAGCAGGATTCTGACTGAAAGGGACATTTTCATAATTATATAAAAGTATAAGAATTTAAGCCTTAAAAAATATTAAGATTGTTAAGTTATGGGGAAAGAATGGCTTTTATAAGTGGGTTCTATTATCTTTGTCAGCTTCTGACTTTAGAAGAAAGATGACTCTGGCTCTTCATGATTCATGCTCTGAAGCTGAGCCCAGAGGTTGACAGCGGAAAGCCGCACATCAGCAGGAGTCTGGAGCCCTGGTTCTGGTGCTAGCTCTGCCGCTAGCTGTGAGGTCTTGGGCAAATTCTTTTGCCTTTCAGGGCTTAGTTGCTATCGGAGAAATCAAAGGTGAGACAAAAGAAGGTTTCAGGTGGAAGCATGAGCTCAGGAATCAAAGGTGTCTGGCTTCAAATCCTGTCTCCATCACATGCTAATTGTGCATCTTGGCAAATTACCAAACCTCTGTCTGAGCCTCCGTTTTCTTACCTTCAAAATGAGGATAATGACACCTATCCTCAGAACTGTTTCAGGATTAAATGAGATAATCAGCAGAACGATGGTGCCTGGCACATAATAAAATATTCATTAAGTGGAAATTTTTTTTTTAAATGATCACTGTGGTGATGATGGCAAGACATTCAACTTGGAAAAAGTCATTTGGGTAGATTTCAAATGTATCTAATGCCAGAGTGAAACTGATTACAAATGCTTCAGAAATCTACCAGCAGACAGTCATAGCTTCAGTTCCTAATAATGACACATCATGTTTTGATCTTCTTGTATTTTTTATTTATATAACACTTCAGTTTGTAAAATGTGTTCAGCCACATTTTCTCATTTGATTTTCAAAACAATCCTATGAGATAAACAATGCAAGGAGCCTGAGACTCCAAGAGGTTAAATGATGTGACCTGGATCCTGCCTGCTTCTCGGGCAGAGCTGTGTTAGAGTGCTCTCTCCACTCTGCCATTCCCTGCCTCAGACCCTGACAAAGTGCCACCAGGGAACCACACACAATGGCCCTTACGCTATTTCCCCAATTATGAAGACACAGTTTATTTTGATTCATTTAATGTTTGGGGAAAAAAATTGAATAAAGAAGAATGAAATATCACAAAATCAATATGCTATAATTTCAAAATGTTTGGAAGTCACTAAATCATAACCTATTCTAAACCAAAAGAAAAAAATGCTAATTCTACTCTCCTCACTCAGAACTAAACTGCTCCCTAGAGTTTCTTTCCAAAATACAGTTAAATACCTTGGTCTGGGCAGGTTATACAACAGGCTTTCCACTTCCTAAAGAGGCAAAAGTCAAGCTTTCATTGTAAAACTACGTATCATATTTACACCTTCCTTTTCATCATTTTGTTTTACTTGTCACATACTACATCTCCCTCAATACCAGATTATCCTTCTAGCTAATGCCCAAAACCATCACTCAGTTTAACACAAATAACTCCTCTCCCCTTGCCCATTTTTCAAATGACCAATCTCATGAAAAGAACAAGTGTGATGACCAAGAATCGGGAGATGGGGAAAGGCAAGTCCAGCGAAGTGCAGTCTAATGCAGCTACACCTACTGAACCCTTGCCTTGGGCCTAATCTCTTTCATTAAAGACTGTATTATTTGACTGTAACTACTATGCAGGTATGGTCAGAATTTAAGAGTAAAACTCTTATTTTTGCTCTGATCAGGTCAAACACTCCATGTGACAGATCCCATCTCTCATCTGTCATTCTGACCAATATCAAAAGGAAAGGTTAACATGTGCAAGACTAATCCCCAACAGGCTGGCCTCTCAGAAAAGGAGCAGAGCGCACTCTATGGAAACTGGCTCCCTCCAAGTACCTAGCACAATTAATTCAGATAAAGTGGTGAGCTGGTGCATCTGGACCAGAGGCCAAGGTCAGACAGCTGCTACTGCAAGGCTGGACTCCAGATCATACAGGGAGAAGGACTGGTATCCTCCAAACCATGATGCTGAGGTGGTAGGACAGAGTTGGAGGCCAAGGTCATGCCAAGGGATGAGGTAAATACTTCTTAGAACAGGCAGTTAGTGAGGGGCCAGGTTCCTCTCCAGGCATCTCACATCTGACACTTTCAGATCCCTGTCTGCTGCCCCCTATGCAACGGACCACAAAGGACCCAAGAGCTGCCAGTGTTCTGTCTTGGTGAGCTTCCCCTGGTAAATGTTGCTCCAGAAAGTCTGGTGCAGTACCATCTGCCATGATCTCTGTGTGCAAAATATATTACCATATACACATCCACCACATTAGAAACTCTTCTAAGCACTATCTTTGTATAATCTGTTATCCCTCACTGTCCATTTTACCCCTCACAATAGTGCAACTATTATTATCACCCTCCATTTTATTTTATTTTATTTTATTTTTGAGACAGAGTCTCACAGTGTTGCCCTTGGTAAAGTGCCAAGGCTCACAAAAACCTCAAATTCTTGGTCTTAAGCGATTCTCTTGCCTTAGCCTCCCAAGTAGCTGGGACTACAGGTGCCCGTCACAATGCCTGGCAATATTTTTGTCACAGTTGTCATTGTTGTTTAGCTGGTCTGGGCCGGGTTTGAACCTGCCAGCCGGTGTATGGGGCCGGCACCATAACTACTGTGCTACAAACATTGAGCCTCACCCTCCATTTTAGATAAGAAGAATGAAGCACAGAGAGTCAATAATTAGGTTCAAGGTCACAAACTTGATACTTATTTAAAGCAATTTGACCCCAGAGTCCAAGGCCTTAGCACTCTTTTTTGCCCTCTCAGAATCTCAGCATACTCACGTCAGCTTCTGAAATTTTGGAGGCCTGTTCTTTGATTCGCTGATGCCACCACATCTCAACATCCTTTCTTGTCTGCAACGTATACTCTTTCGTCCACTTTCCTGTGGCACTGTAAATACTTCTGGTACATCCTGGAATTACTTTCCTTTCCCACTTGATGACATCTGACCCACTATTTAGCTGTCTTTTCAGAAGACAGGCATAAAGACCCAATCTCGGCCAAGTAGAAGCCATTCTGCAGAAGGTGAGAAGGGCCTGAAAGAGAGCAGAAAGCACACGTTAGGAGCTGCCTGACACCCTCTCCCAAGCTTACCTTTGCATTCAGCACAGTCCCGTGTTCCCGACCCACTCACCTGCTTTCTCTTATTCTTCTAATGATTTTTTCTCTGAAAAGAATACTTTAGAAGTTCAATTGAGCGAAACACAAACTCTTCTCTTTTCTTTGAGACAGAGTTTCACTATGTTGCCCTCGGTAGAGTGCTGTGGAGTCACAACTCACAGCAACCTCCAACTCTTGGGCTTAAGCGATTCTCTTGCCTCAGTCTCCCATGTAGCTGGGACTACAGGCGCTCACCACAATGCCCAGCTAAACATAAACTCTTCAATGGAAAATATACAGTGTCCTCCAACAGGAAAGATACAAAAACCCTATAGGAACAACGGGAGACCACCATCTGGGCCAGCTCCTGAGTGACCTCACCAGCAACAGGGAAGACAGTGAAGTCCCCCTCCTTTCCCTGTAGGCCAGCCCAGGGTCTCCCCAGCAGGCTTCAACTCCCACCTCTCCAGAAGTCAGAAGAGCCCCAAGCACATCTTCGCTTGGCCTCAGGCTCAAAAATCGGAAGGGGTCTAAACACAGGTCTCCCAGAGGACCAGAAACTGCACCTTCTCATACATAATAGGAATGAAATATACCCTGTAGTCTGAGCCAGGAAATAACCATTATTTAGAAGACTGTTTATTCACTCAGTTCTTCATTCATTTACCAGGTATTTATTAAGTGCTGCTAGCCCACGCACTGTTCTAGGCACGGGGAATGCCTAGGGAACAAAAACAAAGTCCCTCCTTGCATGGCACATACTAGCAGGAAAACAGATAAGAAACAAATAAACATGACCTCATTGAAGAACTTTCATGTTTTTTCACTGTTTAAAGGATTAAGGTGAGATTTCATGAATAAATCCCCTAAACCTTCTGCCTTCTTGCATAATAGCATTTGAGAAGTGCTGCAGTGAAAACAGATCCTTTAAAAACAAGAGAAATAAAGAAGCAGGGCTCTCTAAACTGGTGGTAATTCTTTGATTCTCTCAAAATTCTTTCTGTCTCTATCAGGGTACAGTATCAGTCTGTTCACAGCAGTACTGGATCACAAATGTTGCTAGGAAGGATAACAGAGGCTTATATAAGTGGGTTTAACTCCCATAAAATGTCATCATAGAGTTAGTATCTTACACGTTGGTCTGCCAAAGCTGTTGACATACCAAGTCCCACTGCATTAAATACCTCTTGCTTTTTTTTCCTC